GGAAGCAATACTTAAGGATTAAACAGTCATAATAAGTGGATTGTTCTAAGTCAAAGCAACTTTCACGTCATGATCAGTAACAAGCAATAAAAGATGTTTGATAATGTGAATCAACCCCATTTAGGGCTGCTTCATAGGATTAAAAGCAACTTGTAGATCGGACTTACCAGAGCAATGTTGTCAGGTAGAATTTAGTCAAGGAGAATAGCCAAAACCACCACCACCTGGTGTTAAAATCTGAAGAATTTCTCCTGCTTGCACCTCAACCGTGTTCTTACCCCCAAGATAAATTCTCCGTTTATCTTTTGTTACAAGGTAGTTAGCCCCACGAGCTCCATCTCTTCCTCCTTTTAATCCTCTTGGTGCATGTACACGCCTTTCTGACAGAATGCTGACAACAACTGGGTGTCTAAACTCTATCTCCCTCACAAGTCCATCACCCCCTCTATGAAGTCCATCTCCCCCACTGTTCTCTCTAATTCCAAACTTGTGCAGAATAACAGGATATCTCTGTTCAAAAATTTCTGGATCAGTCATTCGAGTATTGGTCATATGGCACTGGACTCCACTAGTCCCGTCCCAGCTAGGACCAGCCCCGCTTCCCCCACCAATTGTTTCATAGTAACCAAAAGTGTTGTCACCAAAAGTGAGATTATTCATACAACCCTGAGAACATGCACATGCCTGAAATGCAGTCAGTACAACATCAGTTACTCTCTGAGATGTGAGAACGTTACCTCCTACAACAGCAGCTTTATCGCTAGGAGAGAGGAACGAACCAGCAGGTATATGGATCTTAACAGGAGCCAGACAACCTTGATTGAGAGGAATATCAACATCAACCAAACAACGGAGACAGTATATGACAGCAGCAGCAGTGACTGCTTCTGGAGCATTCCAGTTGCCATAAACTTCGGCACTAGTTCTACTAAAATCAAAAGTTGCTTCTCCTTTATCAGAATCAATTGATAGTTTTAAATGAATGACAGATCCATCATCCATGTAATCCTCTTCTTCAATGTTAACAGATTTTCCATCTCCAAGTTTAGTAGACTGAGATGAAACTTTAGCAGCAACTGATTTAAGCATCTCTCTCACTGCTTCTTCTGCATTAAGCTGCACATAAGTCATGTAAGCCTGAACTGTATCCAAACCATACTGCGCAATAAGTTCTTTAATTAGGATGATTCCCCTCTGGTTGGCAGCCACTTGTGCCCGAAGATCTGATAGATTATCTTGAAGCCGGCGTGTTCCTGGGATTTTATGAGCTAATTCATCAGCACCAGGGAACTGGAGAAGTTTGATTATTCCTTCTTCCTGGAAAACCCCCTTTTGCACAAGCTTAAATGCTTTTATGGCAGCTCCTTCTTCCCAAATGGATTTTGAGAAAGGTGGCATGCTTCCCGGTGTAACACCACCAATCTCAGCATGATGACCTCTGCTTGCCACAAAAAACACTAGTTTCCCATTATCAAAGACAGGTGTTATCACGGTTATATCAGGAAGATGGCTACCTCCAGCACATGGATGATTGGTGACCAGAACATCTCCTTCATTCAGATTGTCACCCCAGTAATTGAGCTGCCACTGGACAGTACTGGACATGGCTCCTAGATGCACAGGAACATGAGGAGCATTGGCTACTAGTCCCCCATCAGGACCAAAGAGAGCACAAGAGAAGTCTAGCCTCTCCTTGATATTTGTTGAGATAGAAGTGCGCTGGAGGGTTCGTCCCATCTGTTCAGCTATTCCCATAAACCTGTGGTTAAATATTGAAAGTTGCACAACATCTGCAACATTTTCTGCAACTTTCACAGTGTTCACTGAAGATTCAATTTTAATCTTAATATTTCCATATTTGGTTATGATAGCTTTACATTTAGGTTCTACTATCACTGTACTACTTCCATTCATGATGATTGCAGGGCCAAGCATAACATGCCCATATCCCAGATTCTCAAGTTTGAATAGTGGTGTGTCATGCCACCCATTCCCAAAATAGACTTTGTAGTGGCCTTCAACTCTAGGGTCACATGAGGCAGGTTCTAAATCCCGTGGCTTCAATATATTAGCGACTCCTACTCCACGAACTCGAACATCACATATAAGGATATTCCTATTCTGCAGCTTAAATCCATACTCCTGTTGGAAAAGCCTAACAAATTCCTCAGCATAGTCACCTCTAGATCCATCTTCAGCAATTTTTCTCTTTACCATGATAGCTGTATCAGTACCTTCATACCTTAAATTTAGATATGTCTCAGTTCTTATATTTTCCTCACTGAATGCCTGCTCTTGAAGCTTGTGCCTCACCTGCTTCAACAGCAAAGCTTCTCGGCAAGAGGCCTCTAGAATGGATTCAGGACCATATACAGCAGCATAGGGCTCTTGTGCCTCTTCAACAACATCTGCCAATCCCATACCATATGCACTTAAGATTCCACAAAACCGGTGAATGAGCACCTCTGTCATACCCAGTGACCTAGCTATGGCACATGCATGCTGTGGCCCAGCACCTCCAAAGCAAGCAAGAGCATGGTTCCTTGTTTCATGGCCCTTCATTTCAGTTAACTGACGAATAGGACGGCACATTGTCTCATTAGCAACATTCACAAAACCTAGTGCAATTTCCTCCACTGTCATGTCCTTCGCAGATGGATCTTGGCTCTTTCTATAGGAATTTATTTGCCCTGCAAGCTTCTCAAATTCTTTCCTGGTTGCCTTGATGTCTAAAGGTTGGTCCTCATTAGGGCCAAAGATAGCTGGAAAATAATCAGGAATAACAAAACCCAGAATCAGGTTTGCATCTGTAACTGCCAATTCTCCACCTTTTCGATAACACACAGGTCCAGGATGAGCTCCCACTGATTGTGGTCCAACTCGGAAGGCTCCAAATTGAAACTTCAACTTTGATCCTCCACCAGCAGCAACAGTGTTTATGTCAAGCTGAGGAGCTTGTATTATAGCACCAGCAATTTTTGTCTCTATTACTTGTTCATAGCTTCCAGCATAGCGGCTAACATCAGTTGATGTACCACCCATATCAAACCCAATCAAGGGCTTTTCTGTTTCAAGTCCAAAAAGAGTCTGTGAGTAGCCAACAACTCCACCTGCAGGACCAGACAAAACTGCCTTATGCCCTGAAAATCTACTTTCTGGTGCAAGTCCTCCATCTGATTGCATAAACAAAACATTCACCTTTCCAAGTCCTTCATCAAATCTAGACATGAATCCTGACAAGTAATCTTTAACTACAGGGGTCAGGTAGGCATCCACACTGGCTGTTAAACCCCGAGGAACAGCACGAACCATGGGAGTCAAAGCAGAAGAACAAGAAACATGTCTGAAACCCAAGCTCATGGCCAACTTCTCCACAGAAATTTCATGATGAGGGTAGGTGTAAGAATGCATTAACACAACAGCCAAACAGCTTATTCCCTTATCCAGTAACCCTTTCAGTAAAGGCTTCATAGTTTCTTGATTAAGTGGCTTTACAACCCTAACAAGCTCACCCGAAACCCCTTGAACGAAAGAAGAATCCTTATTCCCTTTATCCTCTTCAAGAACTAGCTCAACCCTCTCATCAACCTCAACAACTTCCTCATAAAGATTGGAGGGTTTTGTAGCAGTAAGGTCAAAAATATGGGGCCGAGCCTGATCACCAATCTGTAACAAATCCCTAAAACCCTTAGTGACACACAAAGCAATTCTCTCCCCTTTCCTCTCCAGAAGGGCATTGGTTGCCACAGTTGTCCCCATCCTTATCCACTCAATCTTATCAGTGGGGATTTTGGCAGTTCTAGGAATTTTCTCCCCCGTGTACTCCTCAAGAATTCTACGGATACCCTCAATCGGAGCATCGTCATAGTTTAATGGGTCAACTGACAAAAGCTTAAGAACCCGGCCATCGGATTGGCCAGGGATTTCAGCATAAACATCAGTAAAAGTGCCACCTCTGTCAATACAAAACCTCAACTTCTCTTCATTAACACTCCCCATTTTTTACTCAAACTGGAAATTTGGAAAAGACCCAGATGATCCTAGGAAGAGCAAAGAATAAAAAAAAAAGAAGAAGGAAAACAAAAATCATTTTAAAATTTGAAATACAATTTCATGAAACCCATTAAAGAAAGAGGTCATGCTTGGTTGATGAAGAAAATGATTTCAAAATTATTTTGATTGTCCAAGGCTTTCAATCCAGGAAAAAAGGGCTAGATTACTGGGAGAACAAACTCCAAATTCGGAGAGTTGATGTAAAGCAAGAGATAGACGAATGTGTAGGAGAAAGCAAGAAGCTTACCTTTGTGAACTGAGAAATGAAAAGGCTCTATCGTCCGAACTCCGGCAAGAGAATACAATGGCCATAACCCGGATCTTGATCTATCATTAAAGCCAAAAGTCAGCATAATCCACAAAGAGACATAGCACTAACTCTCATGCCCTGAACTTCCAGTAAAAATAAAATAAAATAGGCAGAACGTGCAATTCAGCCCCTGTACATGCAATGTTGTGACAAGTCAGCCCCTCTACTTCCCAAAATCTGCAAAACAGCCCTTTTAGTTAAACTGACATCATCAAAACGTTAAACCCTTCAATTGCCCGTTAAACACTGATGATGTGGCACTGCCGTTGACCAACTCACTTTAGCTAGGTTAACCTTTAAAATATTAAATCCCGTAAAAAAGTTAAATCTCTTGGTAGTAACTTTATCCTCCGACTCCAACAACATTCCCAACCTCCTAACTTCCATTCTCAATCTCACATATTACAAACAAGAAATTTTACCAAAAAAATAAAAACAATAACCTCCTTATTAATAATCTAAGAAGTCTAGAAAAATCTTTTATGTCAACGATCTAAAAACTTTTTCACAATAAAAAAAAAAAAAAAACCCCAATCCAAAGGCTTTCTACAAATACCAAATCAACCCAACGCATCAACAATCAACCAAAACCCATCAAGCAAATCAA